GACGTCGAAGCCGACGAGCGGGTCGCCGGTCTCCAATGCGGCCACGGTTTCCATCAGCGCTGCATCGTGCGGTGGCTGGCGCGCCAGGGAACCTCCGGGTGCCCGCTCTGCAGGGAGGTCGTCCAGTGAAGCCCCTGCCTGCGAGGCGGGCGCCTCCGGCGGAGGGCCGCGCGCCGCTGCGCCCGCGAGCGCCGGGCGCCGCGCGGACCCATCCTGGGGGCCCCCGATGGGAGGGGCCGGGCGCCGGGCCGCAATTGCGACAGAGGGCGCGGCGGCGCCGTGGCCACGAGCGGGCGGGGAGGGGGGAGGGCGGGAGGGGAGGGACGGAGGGGGGGGGAGGTCTTCGCCCTCGGCGAACCCTCGCCTTCGGCAGGAGGCGGCGGAAGACAGGCGGAAGTAGAACGGCGGCTGGTGTGTCGGCGGACGGGCCGGCGAGATGCGGCGGAAGTGAGGGCGAGGCGCCCACGTCCTGGGGCTCGGGGTCTCCAGAGCAGGGCGCTTGGGAAGAAGGGGGCGCAGGGCCGCCGCGGGGACGCGACGGAGGGTGTAGCGGCTTCCCCGGGAGAAGTGCCGGGCGCGGTACGTGCCAGCCCGGCTTCCGGTGCGGCGGCAACTCCGGCCTCGTCGCGGCGGCCACGGCTGCAGCCAGACATCCTCGCACAGGCGGGGCGCATGTCTCGACAGGGCTCGGGGCACGGCCCTTGGGCGAGGCCCGGGGCTGCGCGCGGGCGGCCCCCGAGAGGCGGACCTGGCTGGCCTCCACGGGCCTCGAGGCTACGCAGCCTGGCGCGGGCTCAGCACTCGGCCGCCGCCTCGTGCGACGTCCCCTGGCCCCGCGCCCTGGGGGCGGGGAGCTGAGGCTGTGCTCGGCTACCGTTCACCACCCACCAAACCACCCCAACCCAACCCGAAGGCTCAGATTTACCCTCGATTTCCAGTGGGGTGGGGGTCGGGAAACATCGAGAAAACACATATGGAACCCGTACCCCCCCCAACCCGAAATTCGGGTCTTCGGGTTGGGTTGGGGTGGTCTGGTAGGTAGTCAACCGTGGGAGCTCGTCGAGGCTGGCCGGAGCTACCTCCCGGAGCTGCCTTGGCGCACCCCCGCGTGGAGCTCTTGCTTCTTTGGCGCTTCGACCCGTCCTGGGGCACCTCTGGAGAGCCAGGGGTATGCATGGACGTCCTTGCGCTTTTTGTTTCGAATTTTAAAGGGAGGTGCTCGAGTGTGATCTGTTCCGCTCTTTCTGTCACCACCAACACAGGACCAGGAGGTTCGGTGTGTAAAGCTAAGGGTTACAGAAGGAGGAGGAGGATGAGACGGACCCAATCGCCCTCGTCCTCCAAGCTGCCGCCTATCCAGTCCTTCAAGGGGACAGGTAGGCTACATCAGTTGCCTTCGTGACCTCCCCTATGCGAGACTGTCAGCCCACTCACTTTTTTGAGACCGCTTTCCACCGACCACCGGGGCAACTGTATGAGTGTGGCCGCCACCCTGCGGGATCGCTGTAAGTGTGCCGCGCCATCCCCATGCAACGGGCTGGGGGGTGCTTTTCCCGTTCTCCTCGTGAGATTGGACTTGAGCTCGTATTTTTCTGCTCGAAGGCCAGCGCCCTCGTATATTTGTACGCTCGCGGGCTGATTCACTGCAATCGGTGCCGCGGAGACGGGACCGGTAATTTACGCCCAGTGTGCCTCACAGCCTCTGAGTGTAGGATCCCCTGTCTACCCAGACCTCCGACGTCGTGATTCTCTCACAACATGGATCCCTGGAGGTCGAGTCGCGACCCCTTCCCTCGGACCAGCTTTCCATCCCGAGTCGTTCTCTTGACGGCCCCAGGGCCTGGTAAGGGCCCCCCCGGATGCCGAAGAGTGTCGAAAACGTTCACGTCGTGATCTTTTCACGACGCGAGGAGATCTGGTCTGCTCGCTTTCGCCGCGGGCTGGGCTGTCACTCGCGCTGTTCTCAGCTGGCTTTGAAGACACTCCCATCAGACCATCCACCGTTACACTCTTCCAAGACCGGCGCCTCCACTGAGCCATCCCCCCCGCAATAGGGCCGAAAGCCTTCACTCTGGAGGTCGAACCCCCCTTCTGGGGGAAAGATCGCTTCCAGCGTGGAGGAAGAGACACCTCCAGAGGGGGGGGGTCGAGCCTCCAGTCCGACCTGACCGTTGCCGGAGGTGTCCACGCGAGGCCCAGGAGGGCCACAGGGGGCTGCCGCAAGCCGCGGAAAGCTGGGGGGGGGGGCAGGGCCACCTCTGGCAGCCTCCGACTGCATGGTCTCGATCCTTCGGGCTGGGGAGGAGGCGGAGGAGGAGGAGGAGGCGGAGGAGGAGGAGGAGGAGGCGGAGGAGGAGGGGGACGAGGAGGAGGAGGAGCAGGATGTAGGAGCAGGAGGAGGAGGAGGAGGAGGAGAGATGGGAGGGAGGAGGAGGAGAGGATGAGGAGTCGAAATGGAAGGAGGAGGGAGGAGGAGGAGGAGGAGGGCCCTTGTTCAGCGCAACCGTCCAGCTTTCGCGCCGAAGACCGCCGAATACCGCACGACGACGACGATGACGACGATGCCTCGGCTGCCGCCGCCGCCTTTGCTACCGCTGGTTGACGATGCCGACGGCGCCGACGCCGCTGCCGGTGCTCCCCAGACCTCCTCGTGCCTCGAAACAGGATCCCGACGGAGAGCTTGTCGCCGTTTTCGGCCTCGGGGTGCCCTTACCGTGCCCCGGGGCTGTCAGAAAAGTACTCGGGTGGAAAAGCCCGCCCTGGGGAAGGGGTCGAGACCTCTGGGGCCACGACGTCGAGGGTCTGAGTTCAAGGTCTAAGAGGTCGTAAAACCTCCAGAATCGCACTTCGGCCTTCCGTTCTGGAGGCTTTCTTTCCTCTCTCCTCAACATCCCCCCCTCCTCTCTCTCTCTCTGCTCATTTTGCTCTCTGCCTTCTCTTTCTCTCTCTCTCTCTCTGCTTCTCTCTCCCTCTTCCTCCTCTCCTTCTGCTTTGTGTTCTAGACTGCTCTCTCGATTTCTCTTTCTCTCTCTCTCTCTCCCTGTCTCTCTCTCTCTCTCTCTCTCTTTCTCTCTTTCTCCACTTTTTTTTTTTTTTTTTTTTTTTTCTCTCTCTCTCTCTATTCCTCTCTCTCTCTCTCTCCCTGTCTCGCTCTCGCTCTCTCTCTCTCACTCTCTCTCTCTCTCTGGGCACTCCCCCGACCGACCTCACCCGGGCTGCCGCTCGCCCCTGCCCCCGCTCCGGCGGCCCGCAGCGCGCCCGTCGCCGAGCGCCCGCGAGGCGACCCGCCCGTGGCCCGCGGCGGCCGCCCGCGGCGTCGGGGTGGGGGCGGGGGCCACGCGGCTCCGCCCACCTTGCATGAAGGGGCCCCAGGAGACGCAAATAAATACACACACATGATCCCAGTGCGACCCTGCCTAGGAGTTGGAACCCCTGGGAAAGCAGCATTAGTGGTAACAGTAACGCTAAGCTAAAGCTAAGCTAAAGCTAAGCTAAAGCTAAGCTAAAGCTAAGCTAAAGCTAAGCTAAAGCTAAGCCACAGCTAAGCTAAAGCTAAGCTAAAGCTAAGCTAAATTTAAGCTAAAGCTGAGCAACAGCTGAGCTAAAGCTAAGCTACAGCTAAGCTAAATCTAAGCTAAAGCTAAGCCAACACTAAGCTAAATCTAAGCCTAAGCTAAGCTACAGCTAAGCTCAAGCTAAGCTAAAGCTAAGCTAAAGCTAAGCTAAACGCTAAGCGAAACGCTAAGCGAAACGCTAAGCTACAGCTAAGCTAAAGCGAAGCTAAAGCTAAACTAAAGCTAAAGCTAAAGCTGAAGCTCAAGCTCCCAGGGGACTGGGGGGAACCGCTCCCAGGGGACTGGGGGAACCGCCTGGGGCGATTTCCATTGCCCGGCCCCTTTAAGCTAAGAGAGTAAGAACCCTTCTAGGCAGAGCCTAGGTAGGGAATAAAAAGATTCCCCACATTTTCCCATACTTCTGGGTTGTTGCCTTCCCCCCCACTTCCCATATTTTCCCGTATTGCCCTGGGAGTCGACGATTCATTGTGTCTGTGTGTGTTTCTTTCCCTCCTGATTGCAGTCCGACCGCGCAGCAAGGACCACCGCCTGGCCCTCGCGGCCTGGCCTCCTCGGCCACCTAGGCGGCCCCTCCCCGGCCGCTCCCGACGGCCGGCCCCGCTCGAGGAGCCTCGGCGTGGGCGCCCGGGGCCCCCGGCATCCCCGCCGCGCGCCCCTGCTCTCCGGGCCGCCTGCGCTCTCGGCTGGGCCCCCGCACGGGGAGTCCTCCGATAAAACAGGGCCAGGATCGGGATAGATCCCTCCAGAGCGTTCCGGAGCGCTCCCAGAGCGTTCCGGAGCGCTCTGGGAGCGGCGGCGGCGCCCAATACGTCCTCCAAGCCCGCCGATTTCGGGAGCGGAAAAGAGGGGGGTGATGGCTAGGGGGGGGAGGATATCATGGCGCGGGCCATGATTTGCACCCCCCCCCTCTTGGACACCCCCCTCTTGGCCGCTCCCGACGATTCTCAGAGAGTTCGAGTTCTCCCGATCCGACTTTGGCCCGATCTTCGCGTCGTTGTGGCCGGCTCTCCGCGCCGACGTCGGGCGGCCCCCGGGGCTCGAGGCTGGCCTCCCGGGGTCCCGGGGCTCGAGGAGGCCGAAAATTAGGAAAAACCTCCCGTCGTGATTTTTTCAGTACCCGATCCGATTTTGTCCCGGTCTTCGCGTCGGCGCCTGCCCTCCCCGAGCCCGGGCCCCCCTCCCCAGAGGAGGAGGAGGAGGAGGAGGAGGAGGAGGAGGGAGGAGGAGGAGGAGGAGGAGGAGGAGGATTTTGTCCCGATCTTCGCGTCGTTTTACCTCCTCTGGCCGACCTCCCTCCCCGCCTCCGCGGCTCCACGGTCCACGGTGGCCGTCGGCGGCCCCTCGCCGCCCTCCCCCGGGGTGGGAGAGCACGCTGCGCATGGAATGAATTCAACGAAAATCAGTCGCCTCCTCCTCCCTCCTCCT